GGGGGGCGGGGCGCCCGGGCTGAGGGGGCGGCCTCTGCCTGCCCAGCACCTGGCGCCGTACACGGGGAAGCAGTTTCCTGACTCCGAGTGTGTGTGTGTCAACGCCTGAGCCCAAGTCCCTCTGCCTCGCCGTGAGAAAGAAGTCAGGGTGGGACGTGCACACGCCCTAACCGCAAAGGTCGCTTGCACGTAAGGGGATGCCTTCTCAGAGTCGAGCCTGGACAAGGCGAGAGTGAGCCAGAGCCTTACCTCCAAGCAACAAACCCGAAGCCGAGATGCCTTTGGCGTGCAGGCCGCTCTCGCGAAGAGAGAAAGAGTCGCGCGCCCGCCTGTTGGTGCTGCAGCCGGAGGAAGGTTCCCGGCCCTCGCGTCGGAGGACTTCCCAGATGGCGCCCCTTCCCTCGGCCTCACAGAAGCCCCGCACAAGGGCGCCGAAACGGGCTCCTGCTGCTACCGGGACCGTGCGCCCCATGCAGCACACCCACTGCACGTCTGAGGGCGCAGGTGTCCTTCTGACCGCAGCCCCGCTTCTCTGTGCCTGCCCCTCGCCGGCGGTCGGCCCCACTGGAGCAAGCATGAGGAACACAGCGTGTTGCATACCGGTCTCGCGCAGAGGCCAGGACGGCGAAGCCCTCCTTCAGGAACACCTCCTGGGAGGCGCCCTGGGCAGGGGGGCCAGCCTGGGAGGGCGGTGCGCGGGGCCGGCGGGGCTTCGGGGTGGAGGAGCAAAACCCGTGCCACGGGAGAACTTCCGGACGACGCCACTGCCCGGCATGCCACACACGGTCCCGCGAAGAGAGAAGCAGTCGTGACACCCAGAAGCACCGAGCAAGGCTCCAGGAACGAGCCTCACGGAGGTGGCCCATTCAGCTCCTGTTACCCAACACCCCCCCCCACCCCCGGAAGGCAAGGGGCCTCCCCTCCGACGCTGGCGAATGGACGCACACCCCCGAGGACTTTGGACTCCACCCCCAGGGACCCGTGGGTGCCGCCAGCACCTCTGGTGCGACAGCCGGTTACAGGGACACAGAGTCGTTTCGTACAGGGGCCCGGACGCCGATCGAGCCAGCCGGGC